AAAAACAGATCTTAATATTATAATTCTTTAAAAATGTTTAAATAATCATGTCAGCAAACCTCAACCATCTTTTCCTGCAGTTTCCTTATTCCATCTTTCATGCTTTCTAGCTCTGTTGCTGAAGTGGCTTGCATTTTCTATCCAACGACAACAAAACAGTTATTCAGTGATAAAGTGGAAATCAAAGCATTTCACTCGTACAATAACAAGTATAGTTTCTTTACCTCAGCCATGACAAATTGATGTGCAACGTAGAGTCTTGTAAAATGCTCCAATTCTCGCATAACCTTCTGATATTCAAGGTATGAGGCTCTTTCCTAAGGAGAAAGAAATTTTAGAAACAGAGTCAAATGTCGCCATATTCAACTCTATATACATAACCTAACTACATCATTTGTACATRTACATACCAGCCGAGTTAATTGTGCCCCCCCTCCCCCCGAGAAATGAATAATGGGCCAATTAAATTTTGGTTAGCTTCTTACATAGCAATATTGAAAAAATATATCATTATAATAATAATTTGCAATTCTCTGTTTCTTCTGTAATGCCAGACGCTCGCAATAATTAAGAGTTGTCCACTTTTTTTCATTGTCATGACAGTGAGAGGTGCGCAAAATCTTGAGAAATGCCGATTGAATACATCATGTCAAATTCTCAATTGAGATTGGTTGACCTTGAGTTTGTTTTGAAGGTCAACACAGCTGGCGAAAATATTTTAAATCCTAATCTGTGAACATAACAATCTTCAAGACATTTATTTACCTCTTTGAGCTTCTTGAGAGTAGGGGTAATTTCTTCATTCAATATCTTCAGAATTAGTAAACAAAATGAAAATGTTAGTAAAGRATTCAAATGTTCAATCATTGACTGGAACCCAGAGACACTAATAGAGTTTTTTTTTGGTTCTTGACCCAGTGTTACTAGTCAAAATGGCCGACAAGGCAAAGTTTTGAATAAACAAGTTCTTATTGTGGGCCAGGTTGTTCAAAGCTGGATTAGCACTAATCCAGGATTAACTCTATAGGTCTTATTAAGAGTTAACCTAGGATTAGCACTAATTGAGCTTTGAACAACTGGGCCATGGCTTGACATTTTGAAATGGCTGCCCTTTATCACACATCTGGGCTCGGTTGTACAAATGTACGAAGCCTGGATAGGGCTATCCAGCAGATAAATTCTTATCCAGTGGATAAGGCGATGCTGTTTTCCAATAAATTTATCGTCTGGATGAGACTTATCTGTCGGATAGCACTATCCAGGCTTTGTACAACCAGGCCCTGTAAGCCCTGGCTTGCTGTAAATGCACAGCATGCACACTGGATGACGGGATGACTTACTGTTTCGATCTCTTGTAGTTTACTGTCTTTCTTCTCAATGGTTCTCATGGCTGACTGCTTCTTGCTCTCATACATACGAGTACCAGCAGCTTCTTCTATCATTGACAGAATCTAAAAATCAATATCAAATTGAAATTGAAAATATAAATAATTATCATACAATTATCCATAAAATACCTATATTTATCCTTTTCGAAAAACTGATATTTTCACATGTGATATCATTACCATGTGTATTTAAGCTATTAGTTTATAAATAAAAACTTTTTATAATAATAAAAAGCTTGTTAAGTTGATTTTATGAATAATTATATAAGAAACAGAATATTACGTGGGCGCTTGTGAGAGATCTTTTCGACACTCGAAGATAAATTTTGTATCTCCGCGCGCCCATGTAATATCCTCTATTTATCATATTAACCCTTTCACTACTAGAGGCTAAAAGTGTCCAAGACAGTCTCTTCCTGGAACATTATTAGGGTGTTTTTTATTTCTCAATATCAAAATGAAAAACACATGCTCAGTAGATATTGAGGCCTTATAACACACATCAAAGCAGTTGATACTGTAGAATCTGATTAGTTGATGATCCAAAAAACAATAGCCCACGTGTTTCAACACTTAGAAATGTCCTACACTATAGGGGATAGGTAATTGAAGAGCAAAAACGTCTTTCCGCTGGCCGCTTTTGACCATTCTACATGTAAAAAAAATTCCAGTTGGCTGTCTTTGGCCGCTCTAGTAGTGAAAGGGTTAATAATCATAATGAAATATACTGTAAACTTAATAAATATCAATATTGTGTATTTTAAGACCCCCTATACTGTAGGTAATAAATATCAATATTGTGTATTTTAAGACCCCCCTACCCCCAGAACTTCCAATTTTCTTCCATACAAACCCTGTAATTTTCTACTTCCTCTAAAACCCCCGCCAATCGGAAATTCAAAATTCCTCGTGCTTGGGGAGGGGAGGAGGGAGGTACAGATAATTTCTGGAACTACACAATATAAAAATACTGTATTACACAGCAAAAATTACCTCGGGTGGCTTCATATTCAGTACTTTTGTTATACGACCCTAAAAAATAATAATAATAGAATACTGTATTTCTTTGCTTCTGTGTTATTTAATATTGAATAGATATGTTAGACTTGARAGAATAATCTTTTGTAGAAGAACAAGACTTAGTGATAAATTATTGTTGTTGTTGTTGTTGTATGTAACTTTGAGAAAAGCTTCAATCAAGTTACTGCGGTTTTYGATATTCTGCGATTTCGGTAGTTATAAAATTATAAAATGGTTTTAGCTGCTGTCAATCAAAAATAATCAACAGTAAAAAAACAATCTCACAACAAGCCATTGAAATGTCTGAGTTTGCAGAATATTGAAACACACAGTAAAAGCCCAAAGAAAGATCACAGGGCTTTCAGAATGTTTTGTAGTATGTGGTCATAAGTTTGAAGAAGCTGGCTGTGATCCTGTAGATCAAGATCATCTTTTTTAATAGAAAAGAAAAAAGTACATGTAGCTAGCACTGAGCAGTTAACGTTGAAGCAACTGCTCCAGCAGCAGCTGGCTTATTCTTAAAGCCCTGGAGCAGAGGTTGATGTTTTTATGGAGGCTAGTGCTTCTGCTGTAAAAATTAGGTCATTCTTTCTTATGCCCTATCACAATATCCTACTTTTATCATCAATACAGTAAACCACGGGTGGTGTAGCAAAAGACCCTTTGCAGCACTTTGGAATGCAGCTCAATCTGGGGGACAAAACAATAGGTTCTAATTCTCTGGAGATTGTTTTGTCCTCCAGATTGAGCTGCTTTGACCTCACATGCAAGAGGTCTATAGTACACTTGCCTCTAAACTCTCAGGTTTGATTCCTAGAATTTGCATCACATGTGAATAGAGTTATCTTTGYATGTTTCTCCTTCAATTTCAGACTTTTTCTGTTTTTTTTGTTTTTTTTTGTTTTTGTTGTTGTCCCTCCACAAAACCTAACATGCTATAAATTCCAATCCAATCTGCGGGTTAGATCACTTGACTTAGATCACCCCAGAAATCATTGAGTATTGATCAATGAAATTTGAAGTAATYGAGTTTTACAGTACCTGCATGATAAGAAAATGTGGGTTGTTGATGTTAAGCTGAACTGAACGGAACAAATCCTGTACACGAGTGTTATTAGCATTACACCCATTGATAAGGTATTTATTTCTACCTCCAATGACGACCTGCAACAAATAAAACTATATTATCATTCAAATTAAGACAACTGTAAATAACTTTCTACAAATAATATTCTGCTTATGCACATTATGATAATGGGTAATTGTGTACTTCGTGACCAGCCGACACGTGTCAGCCAACTATTGCCTGATTGTTGGTCGACATTCTCCAGACTGTTGACCAACGCTTGCCCAAAACTTGACCGTCACTTCTTTGCTAATCTACTGAAATCAAATTACCTGTCTGGATACTGTTATTTCATCAAATGTTTCATATCCCAGTGGACTCTGTTTCTTGTCAGTATTATCAAAGGCGATGGTAACAGTTGCTTTTGTTACTCCAGCCTGTCCTCCCTTGTAAACAAGCTCTTGTAGACTGCCTGCTCTGACCTACAATGGTTTAAAATTGAGTTAGCCTTCTAAAACCATACTCCTCACACTTACATGCTTGCACGCAGTAATACGGCAATATTTTACAACTATCACTCCTCATAAGAGACTGTCATATGCTTTTCTCCATGCACTACCGCTACATTCAGTCATGATTTTTATGGAGGAAAAATTGGGGAACCTGGAGAAAAATCCTTCTGCCATGGTAGAGAAAGCCAATGGTGACAAGAGAGCAACACATCAAACATACTTCACTGGCATATGAAGTTTTAATAGCCAAAAACTTGTGAATTCATATTTGACCTAACAGTATGCTGAGATAGGCAGCGTCTGAGCAGCAGATGATACTCATTGCTTTTAGCTGAAGTTTTTTGATTTCTTTACATGGCATTCTTGTACGATGCCAAAATAATACCCCATGGCCAGCTGGCTAGGCAAAGCTATAAGAGAGTAACACCTTTGGAATACTAGGGTAAGCAGAGTGAAATCTAGTAAAGGTCCCAATAAAAAGTTTGGTTATACTGGTGTACAGTGCTATGAACTATGTGAAAAACAACTTTATATTGTTTCTGTGAGCCAAGATATCCCCAGAAAAAGCGAAATTCCTCATGTCTTGGCTTCCATCTATCAAATTTATGACGATACAGTATGAGTTAAACTGCCAGCTGAGGGAGTCCAAAATCTAGACATCTAGTAAATTGTGGAAATACAGCATGTAAGCTTACATGGATATAATACGTTAAAGAAAAGCGAGTTAGTTTTTCTTTCCATGCTTATTTATGCTACAGAGGYTTTGTTTATTAGTTAATCAATCCTGAGAAGGCAATATTTCAAAAAATAAGCGACAAAATCTCAGTTAAAATGGAAAAAAAGAGGTCTTACCTGAGAAAGGTTTGAGATTCCCAGAAGAAAGCAAATCGAATCTAAAATATTTGATTTTCCACTGCCGTTTAGTCCTGTAATGGCGTTGAACAATGGATCAAACCCTGAAATAGTCGTTCTCTGTGCATAGGACTTAAAACCGTCGATAATTATTTGTTTAATATACATTTTTGGGGATAAAACGAGTCCAGCTTGGATATCTTTTGGTCTTTGGACGAAGAAACGATTTCTTGTTTTTGGCGCCTAAAATACAAATAGACCAGCATGCAATGCAATATACACAGGAAGCCCAAAATATAATCCTGGCACGAAAGAAGTCCAAAAAAAATATCCAATATCTTTTTCTTACTTTTTCTTTATGACAAAAAWTTTTTTGTACAAGTTTTTATTGTTTCAGGCAGAGTCAAATCATTGCGAACATTTTTCGTTTTGGTTTTTTTTAGCGGTGCTTATGTGCATTTGAAACCAGATATGCCACAGGCAGACCAAACAAGGTTCCTGTGTACAGGAATGTATGTATATGGGAGTTATGATGAATGTAACACAAATAAATTGTTTCACTCRCCATTTTGGCTTAAAACTTGCTGCAGTCGTTGCTTTACCTTGGTCAGCGTACTGGCGAAGTTTCGGCGCAATGTGAGGCCGTTCAGTGTTTTTCCCCAAAAATATCCTTAATAATTGGAAGCCTTCCCTAGTRTTAAAGAAAAAAAAGAATTGCCTTTGTAGCTCAGTGGTTAGAGCACTGGTCTAGTAAACCAGGGGTCGAGAGTTCGAGTCTCTCCAAAGGCTAGCTGATAGAGTTCGAATTCAGACTTTTTTGCGTGGCTACCGAACTATTTTAAGAGCGACTGTCTGTAAAAATCAAACAAAATCAGAAATATGTGGAAAGGCTCAAATTTTCGAATTCGCTCTACTTTTGGATTTTAGTAGTGCATGATGA